CAGCTTCCCCACCGATCTCGTCACCAATTATGTCTCAATTTTACTACGTTGACGTGAATTTATATTTTGATAATTATTAGGAGCCACAGGTTGTTTAAATAATTTGCTACTCTCCGCACAACTTGCCTAAGTCCATTGACCATTTCAACACACTCCATGGATTTTTGGGGTTTGAAAGCTTACGAGGGAGAGGGCATTTGTGTCTATATGCACATATTTGTGGGTTCATTACGGTAAGATTTAGGGAGCTGGAAGAATTAAATAATATGAATGAAGATGACGTCATTCAAGTGACGTGGGTGTATGACACTTTGTCGTCATTTGGTACTAAATGTTAAATTAATTGAACCCTTCCAACCTCAAGAAGTCACCCGTAGAAGTGGTTTCCAAATTGAGTTCAATAACCTTCTTTTTTTTTTTTTTTTTTTTTTTTTTTTTTTTTTTGTTTTGATAAGAAAGAGTATAGCTTCATTTTGTTTTATTCTGGTTTTCAGAAGGAAGAAAAAAAGAAAAAGATTGCGTGAAAAATGAGGCAGTAGCAGCAAGGGGCTGAAGAGCAGCATCTCTATAATTTGGGATATTACAGTCTCTCTCTCTCTCTCTCTCTCTCTCTCTCTCTCTCTCTCTCTCTGCTGGGCCTGAGGGCATGCGGCTTCAAATCATCATCGCCTTTTGTTTTGCCCATAGTTTTCAGTAGTTGTCGACAAAAAGAAAAGAAAAAGGATAAAAAAAATTGAATTCCCACTTGTGTTCCTACACTGTAAATCAGTCGGTATTCCCAACCAAGCCGCCAATCTGCAGTTGCTGGAGAACCCACTTTCTGGCAAGGCCCATGGACCTGCACTAGTTGGGCTGAGGCGGACCGGAATGTTTTTTCAATTTGAGGCTTAGCCCATTGTGTAGCAGATGAGATGATAGACAGCGCGTGGACCCTGGAAGTTGGAAGGAATCAACACCAACACCCACCCAAGCGATCCATACGCAATGCTTGACCGGTTTCTTGAGCAGCAGCCCAAATATGACTTTTCTCTGTTCTTTTAACCCAACCACTCCTTGCCTTTCTGTCTGCGTCCTCCTTCCTCTGAACTCAATCATGGCAAACGCTGCCCCAAGATCCGAATTCATGGCCACCTACGATTCCCCGCACCCTCTCTATGCCATGGCCATCTCTTCCGCCCACACCCACTCTCGCAATTTCCCCAATCGCATAGCCCTTGGTAGCTTCATCGAACAGTGCACCAACCGTGTCGACATTGTGTCTTTTGATCCAGATTCCCTCTCCATTCAAACGCATCCTTCTCTCTCCTTCGACCACCCCTACCCACCCACCAAGCTCATGTTCAATCCCAATGCCCTCTCCTCTCTCCGCAACTCCTCCGACATCTTGGCCTCCTCCGGCGACTATCTCCGCCTCTGGCAAGTTGGAGATTCTTCTATCGAACCCCTCTCTGTCCTCAACAACAGCAAAACCAGTGAATTCTGCGCCCCCTTAACTTCCTTCGACTGGAATGAAGTCGAGCCCAAGAGAATTGGAACCTCCAGCATTGATACCACTTGTACTATTTGGGATATTGAGAAGAGCGTGGTTGAAACCCAGTTCATAGCTCACGACAAAGAGGTTTATGACATTGCGTGGGGGGAAGCCCGGGTTTTTGCCTCCGTTTCCGCTGATGGGTCGGTCAGGATTTTCGACTTGAGAGATAAAGAGCACTCCACCATTATATACGAAAGCCCCCAACCCGATTCCCCTTTGCTTAGACTGGCTTGGAACAAGCAGGACCTGCGGTACATGGCCACAATTTTGATGGATAGCAACAAAGTTGTTATTTTGGACATTCGCTCGCCAAGTGTGCCGGTTGCTGAGTTGGAGAGGCATCATTCCAGTGTCAATGCCATTGCCTGGGCTCCACGGAGCTGCAGACATATTTGCTCCGCTGGGGATGACAAACAGGCGCTTATTTGGGAGTTGCCAATGGTTGCAGGCCCGAATGGCATTGATCCAATGTCCATGTATTCTGCTGCACATGAAATTAACCAGTTGCAGTGGTCCGCCGCCCAGCCTGATTGGATTGCTCTGGCATTTTCTAACAAGATGCAGCTTTTGAAAGTTTGAGGTCTGAGAACGTTTTCCACTGTACCTATTGTGTATCAACTACTGCTATATATTTTCTTACCTTCGTTTTCCCCTGTTCTATATAAGCCACATATATTGCTATAGGCGTAGTTTTAGTTTCAGTGCTAAGATGTTATTGCTACTCGGATGGTATAAATGTTGATGCTTCATCTTGCCAACAGACGGCGCAATTTAAGTTACTTCGCTTGAATTCCTTATATTTAATCAAACCTAAGCTAGCCACTTTCTTATCCCTCCAAAGTTTGATTTGTTTATTTTATTTGCATTACATTAGGCAATAGGAGCAGGCTTTGTTGTTTTGAGTTCTAATGCTATGTATCCCTCAACTCTGTTGGAAACCAAGGAAGAACAGCTACCTTCACACACTGCTGATCCTTGCTTCCAACATATACGCCAGTTTGGATCAAGGGTTGTTGACAATGGGAGAATCTACTTGTTCTCTTGCAATGTTGATTTGAATTTCCGATGGTTCGTTCTACTATAAGTTGACAAGTGGAAGTGTGTCATTTGCCTAGGTTCTGGGTTCTTGGGCTTGCCAAATGCATGTCATGACTTTTATTGAGTGTTAAGAAGATGAAGACAGAAGGCATTTCTAGTTTATAATCTCAGCTTATGAGGTGAGATATGATTGGATTGGCTAGAGTTGATACATAACCCAAGTTGCAATAATAATGTAGCTATTCATTCAGATTCTGAAGATTCAATGGCAGCCACAGCTTTTACTAAAAATCGTTCATGATGTGGGGCTGAAATTAACAACAAAAATATGTTTTTTTCTTTTAATGTTCATGATGCAGACTAGGGATCATTTTTTTTAATTGAGAACCCTTCATCATGAACAAAAGTTGTGGAGTCCAACAGAGAACCCTTCCTCCCTGCTTGCATCCATCTTTAACGCAGTCGCTTGATGCACCAAGACGTCTTTATGAGCTCATCTGATATGGGTAAAAGTTGGTACTGAATATCTATCCAGACTGTCCTGTTGCATGGCAGAGTGAGAGTACACAGATACAAAGACCCACTGCGCATTTTATGAAAGAAAATGGGACACCTAATGGAGTAATATCCAAGTGGTCCATCAGCTGAGATGGAGACCGTCAAATTATCCAAATGTTGCATTGGGAGACAGTTCCCTTGGGATTTCGGATAACGCACACAACCCACCAGATCTTTTAACTATGGTTTGGAAAATCCCATTTTGTTAAGCCTCCTCTTCTAACCTACAAAATTGAAGTTTAAATTACATTTATTTAAGAAGATTGATGCTGCAGTGGCACGGGATTCGTCCTGCGTCCACAAAAAGGCCTCGCTCTCTTTATCCATCTGTTTCCCTTCTCTCCCCATCTCTCTCCTTGTTTCTTCAGTTTTCAAATTCCTGTTTCCATTCCCATGGCCGCTCTCACCTCTTCTATGCAAACGAATCTCCTCTCCGCCCATTCCTTAACGCCTTCTTCTTCTTCTTCTTCTTCTACAGTTTCTACTTTTCCTACCTCCTTCTCGCTTCCCACCTCTACCAACTCCGCTGTTCTCAAAATTCACGCTCTCTCTTCCCATGCTTCTGCTTTCTTCAACTCCTGCAACCACTGCTTTCGGACCATTGTGATAGCACCTCGCAAACGTCATGCCACAAGATCTTTCAGTATTCGGATGTCCTGGGACGGCCCTCTCTCTTCCGTCAAATTAATTGTTCAAGGCAAAAATTTGGAGGTATTTTAGCTTCATATTCGCTCTTGTTTCTCAGGCAATGCAAGCTTCTGTTCCAATTCTTGTTTTCATTTTTTTTTTCATGTGTTTCCTACTGCGCTGAAATGTTCGAGTCTTAGGTCTGTCCAGGACTTCTTTACTAGTGAGTGTCTCGTCTAGTCGTTTTCTAATGATTCGGTTCCTTAATCACCTCGTGCTCCTTATTGGGAGTAAGATCTAGAGAGAAATCTCGTGCTCCTTATTCGTGTTCCTTAATCGACCTGCTAACTCACTACCCTTAATAATTGAAGCGTGATGCCAAAACTATCCACTGATTACAAACCTAAACCATTTCTCCCCGCGAACTGAACATTGCAAACACTAATTAGAAACCTATTCCACTGTGTTTCTCCCTTTACTCAAAGCCTAGCCTTGTATTTCTCAACTTCTCCATTACTTTTATTTTCTCCACTTACAACTGCTAATTTCTATGCGTCATTTCTCATGCGTTTTCCATATCAAAACTCATGTCCCTTCTCCATGTTTTACTCTACACAGCCTCCCTGAAATGATCGGTATCAACAATAGTAAGCATGGCATCAGGAATCCACTACCATTTTTTTTTTCTTTCTAAAAAAGGTCCTCACCCTATTTCCTAACTTCATCCAATTTGCTAGATTATTTCATTTTGGGTAACACGCAATGGCAACTTCGTATTTCCCAATTTCAATTGTTTTCTTCTTCCGGTACAACATATCTGCTTGAGGGATTCCTTTGTAAAATTGGATCACGAAATCTATAGGCCCTTGGCTTTTCACTAAACCAAGCCGCACAACTCGAGCTTTATCATCCTGCTTAGTTCTTGAGCATGATTCACACATCCAAAAGCAGTTAAGTACTCAACAGGCCAACTCCACTCCCATTTGGAGTTCTTATTTTAGTGGGTCCTACCTGGAGACATACTGAAAACTTCTTCCAAATCAAAAGAAACAAAAGAAAAAATGGGCTTGTTGGGAAGAAAGATGGTGTGTAGAACACATGTAAGGCACAGTTGGGTTACATGTAAGGCACAGTCGGTTGATCACGCAACAGATCTCTATCTCTCTCTAGATATCTAGAGATGGAGAGAAATGTGATAGTATGAAAGGTTTGGAACTCGAATTCCACTGGACGAGGGTATGGGATTGCTTGACTACATGCAAAAGCTTTTCCTTCAGCTGGATTGAATAATGATCTTTATTTTCAGACTTACACTTAATGTTTGCGAGGCCAAGGTGAAGAACTGGTTAAGCTTAAGCTTGGTTGATTTTGTTAAGGTGAAGAACTGGTTAAGCTTAAGCTTGGTTGATTTTGT